TTGGGGGGGCCACGGTTTCACCCAAGACAGTATGTCAGTCAGCCTCCCAGATGTACGTACATATGTCTGTGAGCACATTCGCCCCACAGCAGGTCACCGTTAGTGAACACTGGCTTGTGTGGAAAGAGAGTTTTGAAAGGCGAGAGGCTTCAGGGGAGCCCCTCGTTTGGAGTCACTGTAGATTCGCCCGCAGGAGGAGGAAGAACAGAGAAATATCCTATGTACCTGCTACTCAGTTTCCCCAAGGAGAGTGTTTTACAAGGCACAGCCAGGGTGCTGGCATCAAAGTGAAAAAAGACGTTTGCGTCATCACGGGGCCATCCAGTCCCGTCGTCCGTGGTGGGCCGCCAACCCCCACGTTGCCCCTAACGGTGCCCCGCTTCCACACTTGGTCACTTCTAGCACGTGTCACGTGTGGGTCTGTGCAGGGTGGAGCCTTCTCCCCTTAGCGTCCTTCTCTGGAGACCCGTAGGGGTGGACGCCTTCCGGTGGCCCAGCAGTGCTCCGTGGGGTGTGCAGCCGCCCGGCTGTGTGACCGTTCACCATGGGGGGACACACAAGTGGGAGGGCTGCTGTGGACGTGTGGACGTGAGGTCCCGTCTCTGGGGTGAACGCCCAGGGGCACCGTTGCCAGATCATAGGGCGGTTGCGTGTTAGTTTTTACAGAAGGCGTGGAATTGTTTTCCTGAGTAGCTGGACCCCACTCATCACCGTTGTACAGCAGCGTAGAACGTTCTCTTGTTCGTCACGGGTGTTTGCTGTTGTCACTGATCTTTTGTTTACAGCTGTTCTCGTGGGAACGTAGGGAAGTGACATCCTGGTTTTGATGTCCATTTCCCCAGTGGCTAGTGAGGCTGGATCTCATGTGTTTCTTTGTCTTTTGTGTACCTGCCTGGCGGGGGTGCTGTCTCTTCGTGTCTATCACCCACATTCTCGCTGATGGTCTCTGAGCTGTGGGGGTTTGAAAATGCTTGACATGTTCCAGGTAACAGCCATTCGTGTGAGACCTGCTCTGTGAGTATTTTCTCACGGCCTGTGGCTTGTTTTTTCATCCTCTTCAGAGAGTCTGCCCAAGTTTTACTATAAAAATTTATTGATTGATTTTTAGAGTGGGGGGAAGGGAGCTCGGAGAGGGAGAGAGAGAGAAAGAGAAAGGCATTGCTTTGCTGTTCCACTCATTTACGCATTTGTTGGTTGCTTCTTGCATGTGCCCTGACCGGGGACGGACACCACAGCCTTGGTGAATTGAGACGCTCCAACCAGTGGAGCTGCCCGACCAGGCCCCCCTAAGTTTTACTTTGGGTGAATTTGAGTGGTTTTGTGGATGGCCACGCCCTGGATCCTGAAAACTTTTTGTGTTTTTCTTCATAGTGACTTTTGCCGTCTTATGTTCTGCACAAGTGCCTGACCCGTGCTGAGTTAATTTTCCCGTGAGGTGAGAGGGCTGGGTGAGGCCCACGCCGGGCCCCCCTGCGTGTCCAGCTGCTCCAGCTCCGTGTCGGGAAAAGGCGTCCTCCTGCCACTGAGGTGCACGTGCATTCTGTCCCTCGAGGTGGCGAGACAGTGTCATTGCCAAGGGTGATGACTTCAGCTCCTCTTTTCCAGCCTGAGATCAGCCGCCATCATTTCTGATGGCGTCCAATGTGGTCAGCTCAGCACCCTCCACAGAGTAGTAACTTGGTCTGGGTCACTTCTTTTTATTTGTTGGATTTTGGGGAGTTTGGGGGCTCAGGTGCTGGGGAATGATCTAGAAGGAGCGACAGGAGGAACCGGCGTCTGCAAATAGGTGGAAATGGCGTCTGCAAATAGGTGGAAATGGCTGCAAGGAGTGAGTCCTGAGTCACAGGTTTTCAAGGACAGGAGAAGGGAAGTGGGTGCTGAGCCTCTGCTTTCAGTTCCCTCCCCGCTGCTCTGTGGTTAGGCACTGGTGTGGGAGGGCGGCGGAGATCTAGGGAGGAAATAATAATTTAAAAAGCACGGTTTGATAACTTTCCCGCAGTTGGAGCAGGGGTCGCGGGATGGGAAGAGTTAATGGTCCAAGTCACGACAAAGCCTGGCGCCCACGCCTGTGCGGCCTCCACTCGGGGAGACTGAGCAGAGGGTCCAGCTGGCCGTGCGCACTCTCCTCTGTCCATTCAGTTTCTGAGAACGGGGAAGTCGGCTTCCTTCTGGAGCCCGTCCCCCAGAAGGACCTCGAGTCCTGGGCCAGCACGTCTGTTAACAGGCTCTTTGTCCTTGCTCAGGGAGCCAGACAGAGCGAGTGGGTGGCCTCGGAATGCCCCAGCCAGGGTCGTCCGTGTCCTTTCCTGGGACAAAGGGCTCCCTTCATGGGTTTTACCATCTCAGCTTGCCTCCTGACCCTCATGGGAGACGGGGAGGGTGACGGGGCCAACCTCACCTGCACCCACACGGCGGGAAGAACAGACCCGCCAGCAGGTGCCCCTCAGGGCTTCCACCTGTAGGAGAGGATGCATAGCAGCAGAGTGAGCACAGTGTGTGTGCGAGAGTGTGTGTGAGTGCGTGTGCCTGTGGGGAGTGTGGACAGGGATCCACAGACTCCCGTTCCAGCCTCAGATTCTGCACGGGGAGACCGCCGTCAATCAGCACTGTGTGCTGAATGATTTTAATCCAGCCACAAGGCCAGTGCCACCACTTGAACACAGGCACCGTCCTGTCCTGTCCTGCCTTTGCTTGGTGGCAGCTGTCAGCCAGGCCGTGGCTGAGACCAGAGCTTGGCTTCCTGAGAGGGTGGGGCGGGGTGCACACACACACACACACACACACACACACACACCTGTAAGGGTGCCCCTGTCACAGTGAGTGTTACGTGGAGGGCTCATAACCAGAGGGTCCCAGGGCCCACGGACCTGCTTGCGTTTTGCTCTGTTCATTCTTTGACACTGGAATGGGTGGAGGGTCTGGGGGCCGGGGTCCCGGCAGACACCCCGGAAGTCAGGGCCCCCTTCCCTGTGAGCAGCCTGGGGGCCTGATCGGATGGCCTGGAGCCGCCTGCAGGGGCCTGTGGACGAACCGTTGACCCCAGGGGTTACTGAGGGGGAAGTGTCTGAGGAAGGGGGGCCCTGCATGTGGCTCAGCACATCTGGGGGACCAGCCTGGTCGTGAAGCTCACCGTGGGCGCATTCCCCGGGTTGCCAAGCATTCTTTGGGCCCACAGTTACCAGCTTTGAACAGCCGGCTTCTTATGAACATAATCCAAATTTAGGTTTCAAGTACCTGGGACAGGTGGGTGCCTGCTATTTTTTTTCTTCTAGCTTCTTTTTTTTTTAAGATGGTATTTATTTATTTTTAGCGAGAGAGGAAGGGAAGGAGGAAGAAAGGGAGAGAAACATCCATGTGTGGTTGGCTCTCACGCCCCACCCCACCTGGGGGCCCGGCCTGCAACCCAGGCCTGTGCTCTGGCTGGGAATCAAACTGGTGATCCTTTGGTTCACAGCCCGGTGCTCAGGCCACTGAGCCACCGCAGCCAGGGCTCTTCTAGCTTCTTGATGCACAGATCACCTGCTTGCGTTCGTGCGTGGTTCCGGGAACCCGTGGGAAATTTCACAGGCACATGGGCTTCCGGGATGGAGGCGGACAGAGCAGCACCCGATTTCTGACTAAGCCCTTCCCTGTCTTGTCCCCTTGGCTCCATAGATGTGGGGTGACCTGGTGGAGGCAGCGTGGCTTCACCTCTGGAATAGTGGAAAGTGCAGTGTGCGTGCCATTAGCCCCTGGCCACTGAGCCAGGCGGTGCACTTGACCGATTCTCCAAGTCTGTTTCCCCACCGGGAGAAAGTCACCGGACAGACAGCCTCTCGTGGTTTCGTGGGGCTTTGCTTTTCCTGAAGAGAACCTGCCGTTGACCTGGTCCTGACTTTGTCTTTGGGCTGCAGCCCCTGCAGCCTCCCGGCTCGTCACCCCTCCCTGCAGTGGCCCCCATTGGGGTGGCGAGTGAGGAGGTGCAGGGGCGGGATGTGTCCCCTCCCAGCCTCACGCTGCGTGTGCAGAGAGTGTGCAGAACCGAGCCTGGCTCCGGCCCCAGCTGGGGGGTCAGTGCACCCTGGAGGCGGGTTGTGGGTCTGGCTGTTTGGGTTGCAGCCGGGGCTCCACTGCCACGTGGCCTCGTGCAGGTCATTCAACTTCCGTCACCTAGTCCCCACCACCAGAAGAGAAATAACTTCTGTCATGTAAGGCGGTAACCAGTAAACGAGATCGTTTTAGTAAGGCGAGCCCAGTACCCAGCAAAACAGGAAGCTGCCTATTGCAGGCAGACTGTTACAACCGTAGTCATTGTCTTTCACTGTGGCAGAATAGGCCCGGCAGAAAGTTCTCCGCACGCAGGTGGGCTGTGTGGTTGTGATAGACGCGTCCATGCGGTCGGGCAGCCGGTCCCCAGAACGCCATCCCCCAAGACTGAAACCGGATCCCAAAGCCTCTCTCCGTGCCGCCCCTGGCACCCTCCTCTCCGAGTTTCATCTCTCTGACTTTGACTGCATACCGCCCATAAGTGGGGTCACCGGGCGTTTGTCTCGGGTGACTGTCATTATTCTCAGTCCTGGCTACCCCCCCCCAGAAGTTGCCCGCTCTCTCCTCCTTACCGAGCTGCAGGCTCTGCTGCCTGCTTGCACCCGAGTGGTTGACGAGTTCTTTCCTTAAGGGAATGAGACACCTTGCGGCGCCCTCGTGCCTGTGACAAAGGCAGCCAGGGAAAACTGGAAGGGACATAACCAGGGGACATTCAGGCAGGAGAAGACTGCTCACTCGGGGCACGGCAGAGCCTGGGGGCCCCTCCCCCCGGCCCTGAGGAAATTCAGGATACCCGAGAGTGGCAAGCCGAGTTTCGGGCGGGACCCCGGCTCCCTCCCAGCAGATGCGCCCTGACCCTCGGCCTCTGGTCATCACAGGAGGTGGCAGCCTTGGGCTCTCTCACCCCCAGAGCCCTCGCTGCCCAGGGCAGGGGCCACGGGCGCCCCTCCGACCGCCACATTCTCTCCTCGCAGTCCTCCGTGTGCGAGAAGATCGTGCAGCTCCTGGGCCAGAACGAGGTGGACCACCGCCAGAAGCAGGTGGTCATCGTGAGCCAGGACAGCTTCTACCGCGTCCTCACCCCGGAGCAGAAGGCCAAAGCCCTGAAGGGCCAGTTCAACTTCGATCACCCGGGTGAGCTGGGGGCTCAGCGGGGCGGCCCCGGGGTTGATGGGGGGCCGTCAGACCTTGTTGTTTCCCGTCTGGGAACCGGGGCCGATGGGAGCCTGGCAGGGTCCTGGCGGGGCTGCAAGGGAGGCACTGGCCACACAACACGCAGTGCTTGGCTCCCCAAATTCTTGTGGGATCCGTGTCCTGGATGAGGTGACCCTGTGTGAGGCTGGCGGTCCTGTCCCCTCCTCTCTGAAGCATCCTGTCCGTCTCACTGTCCCCGGTGCCCGGCCCTGGGCGGATGTGTGTGGGTGTCACTCAGTGGCTGGCAGGAGGGCGGTGGGAGCCCCGGTGGCTGCCTGAATGACTTTTGCCTGGACAGTCCCTGATCAGCAAACTGCTCCTTTGGCTGGGGGTTCTTTTTTTTAAAGATTTTATTTATTTATTTTTAGAGACAGAGGGAAGGGAGGGAGAGAAACATCAATGTGTGGTTGCCTCTCATGTGCCCCCTACTGGGGACCTGGCCCGCAACCCAGGCATGTGCCCTGACTGGGAATTGAACCGCCAACCCTTTGGTTTGTAGGCTTGTGCTCAATCCACTGAGACACACCAGCCAGGGCGGCTGGGGGGGGTTCTTCAGTTTTTGGAATCGGGGCTGGTGGGCATGGTGCCTGCCCCTCCCCCCGGGTCCTGGGGAGCTTTCCAGGTGGGCGTGGGTGCGTCCCAGGACAGCCACCAAGCCGAGAGGGAGGAGAGTGGGCCCGAGGCCAGGGAAGAATTCTGGGGCAGGAAGAAAGATCCGCTTCTCGGCCTCGGGCACACGTCCTGCGCGGAGTTTGCGTTCTGCTGCGGGTAGAGGTGCGGCTCTCTCAGGGGGGGAGGACGGACGTGCTTCTCCAGAGTGTGGTGCCCGGGCGTGGAGGGCGCCCTGTGTGCGGGAACGGGAACGGTCCTTCTAAGACGAAGAGCGTCTTAGCCGTTTGATTCCCTTCAGATGCCTTTGACAATGAGCTCATCCTCAAAACGCTCAGAGACATCACCGAGGGGAAGACCGTGCAGATCCCCGTGTACGACTTCGTCTCCCACTCGCGGTGAGTGCGCTGCTCCGTGGGCCCCCACCTGCCGTCCTCGCCCACCTGCGTCCACAGCTGCCTGTCCGGGAAGGGCGGTGACAGTGTCACGGGTCGGAGCATTGCCCGGGCGCTTCTTGGGACATGTCCCAAAGGGAAGGGGGTGGGTTTGTTGGGGGCAGCTGGAACTTCCCTCGGTCCCTTCCTCCTTCCTTGCTTCCAGCCGCCCCAGGACTGGGGGTGGGGTGCAGTTGTTGGGAGGGAACTCGGAGCCGCTGGTTTTGAGCAGGCAGGGAAGCCAGGCCCGAGCGCATCGCCCCAGACGCCTTTGGAGAAAAGGAGGCAGCGCGCCCGCTTTGGCCTCCATTCCGCAGCAGGTGTTGTCCCTCTAAGGACAGGGACACCTGCCTCCTATGTCTGCTTCACACCAGACACTGAGACCGGCAGGCCCCGCCCTCTGCTGGGCCTTTGGGGACCGCAGGCTGTGTCCGGCTGCGTGCACCCTGTGTGACGTCTGTGGGGAGGACCCCCGGCTCCCCACTCAGCCCGCCCCTGCCCTGTGCCTGCAGGAAGGAGGAGACGGTCACCGTGTACCCCGCGGATGTGGTGCTCTTCGAGGGCATCCTGGCCTTCTACCTGAAGGAGGTGCGGGGCCTGTTCCAGATGAAGCTCTTTGTGGACACGGACGCCGACACCCGGCTCTCCCGCAGAGGTGCGTTCTTGGGGCCCTGGGCGCTCCCTGCGGTAACAAAGGGCTTGTGAGCTCACGGCGGCGAGAGAAGAAATTTGTGTTCTGGTTTGTCCGGAGAACCCCTCCTGTTGGGTACTCAGTCTTGTGTGGTTCCCGCAGGCACCCGGGAGGTGGGGGGGGGGTGGGATGGGAGCCAGGCGCAGGGCCCCTGGGGCGGGGACGCCCATCAGCTTCTCCAACCCCTTTGTTTCCAGAAAGCTCTCTAGGAGCGGGCTGTTCCTTCCACAGACCTCAGTGAGCATGGCTGGGGGCCTGGAGACAGAGCTGCCCGTGGGCTGGGAGCCAAGCCCGGGTTCGGCTGTGTGGGGCAAGGTGGTCAGGACTCAGGTGTGGTGGGCGTGACCTGGGCAACCCCCAGGGGTACATGGTGCAAAAACTTGCACAGGTGCACACCCATGCACTCAAAACACCCACAGACACGTGCAGACCTAAACACAGCACATGTGCAGGAGTACACGTGCACATGTATGTACATGCACACATGTGAGATCCTGCACACGGGCCTGGGGGAGGATGGTGTCACTGATCGAGACGACAGGCAGCCGTCACATCATCACTGAGGGAGGCGGTGGGGGGTGGGGGAGAGGCCCCAGCGAAGCCAGGGGCATGCGGAGGCAGAGGGTGGAATGAGAGCTGCCTCAGGAATGACCAGGTCAGCCCTGGACCCTGAACCCCTCACCGGCAGGTCCGGTTTTGTGCGTCCAGCCCAGAGCCCTCTGACCTCAGCCCCCAGGAGGCGCACCCGGTCCTGAGACAAACTCGCAGTTCACTGGGCTCTCGTCTCCTCGCAGAAGCTGTGCCTCCTGAGTGCTGACGTCCCACTGTGGATGGCGGGTGACTTCTGCCCCGGGCGGGGGGAGGCGGGGCCTGGATTCGTTCCCAGCAGCTCCAGCTGGTTGGCAGAGCTGGTGGCCCTTGAGACCCCTCACCCAGGTTCGGATTTCTTTGTGGCGATAGGGAGACAGGCCGGGTTTTAGGGTCGTGACTCTGGCCAGCTGGGAGCTGCATGGCCTTTTGTGATAGTCCAGGCCTGAGCATGACCGTCCCTCATGTATCCACCCCTGGAGCTGGCTTATCACCCAGGTCACAAGCTCGGGCCCTGCCTTGGTCAGTCTGCCTGGTCCGAGCTTGCTCCCACATCAGGGGGACAGCATGGGGTCCGGGAGGAGAAACACGAGTCCCGAGAACCGACGTGAGTGCCGGCTTTACCCTGCGGCAGCGGCGCGGCCTGGGGCAAGTTCTGCTTTTACCCCTTTGTATCTCGTTCTCCTGCCGATCATCCGCTGATTGGTCCTCCTGGGACAGCAGGGTAACGCAGGGAACATGCCCAGTGGGGCGTTTGTCAAACACCAGTCGTGCGGACCGGAAGTCCGATTTGCCTGAGATGGTACCTGTGGCTCTGTGGGGACTGGACCCCGGGAGCTGGTGGTCCCAGCAGGAGGGGCGGAAGTGCCGGGGGAGGGGCCAAGGCACCACCCAGGGAGGTAGAACCGCATCCCGGGTCACGGTGTCCCCCTGGACGGCGGCGGATCTCAGCCTCTTGCCCACGCAGAGGATCATGGCGGGGGGGTTGAAGGGCCAGTCCTCCCGCCCTCGCTTGTCCCAGCTCTTCCGTGAAGGGGAAAGACGGGGATGGCGGCCCCTGGGGTTCTGTGGGCTCTGCTCAGCAGCCCTTCCTTCTTTCCCGTGGCTTCCAGGAAGGTGCTTCTGTCCCGTGCCACCTGCTGGTGTCGCTTCCCTGGTGCATTCGTGGGACTTGGCACAGCTATTTCTACAGATCCGTTCTCTGTCCTCGCGGGGCCGAAGGCAGGCCTGTGTGTCCTCTGTGTGGGGACAGTGGGGTGTGGGGAGATTAGTCAGGAGCAGCCGTGGGTCACGGGACATTCCTCCAGGCTTGACCCAGCTCCCTGGTTTTATCGGTCACACCTCGTGAGTCGTGCAGCCCTGGAGAGGCGTTTGTCCTTCTCATACGGATCTCTTGTCACTCACCCTCACCCTCCTGTGGACCAGGAAGAACCCGGACGGGGACCTGGGACAACTGAGGAATTGTATCGATTCCAGGTCCTTCTGACTTGTGTCTACGGCTTTGACTGAGCAGGAGAAATACGGTGGCTTTGGACGGGCCGAGGTGGACGCCACACAGGGCAACTGGCTGGACGTGCAGTGTCCTGCCCGTGCCCCGCCCCTGGCCCAGTTGGGTTGGGTCATAGCTACGGCCAGGGAGCCGGCTTGCAGTCCTGTGGTTTCCGCTCTGTGCCGAGGGCTTGTTCAGACTCGGCGCTCGGCTTGGCCCTGTGTCCCAACAGCCCAGGAGCGAGTTGTGACCTGGCCACCAGTGCTTTTCTCCTGGAGGTGGGTGGTTCCCGGTCAGTTTGCGGTGACCGCTCCATGGGGAGGTCCTGGGGACAGGAGACAGGTGGCCTTTACGTCAGTGTTCCCAGCATCTGGGTAACATTCTCACCCTTTGCTGTTGGCTGCTTGGGGCAGAAACTGCAGGGCGAGGCTTCCCATCCTCCCCAGTGGCTCACTGCTGAGTTTGGGGGAGACTGAGGCAGGGCCAGGGTTCCCGTCCCTTCTTGGGCAGACCCTTGCCATTTTAGACAAAACATCATCTGAATGACCCCGAATAGCACCGCCCGAGGTGGGGAGCAGAACAGGATAAGTTTGATTGGTCTGGCTGCTTCCCTGGTTGGCCCGCCCATCACTCCCCGCACCGCGGTTTCTTCATCCTCACTATGGGGATTGTGCTTTTTAAATCCTCTCCCAAGGATATGTTTTTGTACAGTTTGGGGAGAGGGAGAGAGAGGGAGACATCCATTGGCTGCCTCCTGGGATCGAACCTGCAACATTTTGGTGCTTGGGATGGCGCTCCAACCAACCGAGCCGTCGGGCCAGGGCACACTAAGTGGTTTTCTTCGGCCTACCTCAGCGCACGACTAGCAGGGAGGCCGGCCTCAGATGGACCCCTGCCGGCCTCCCCACTGCAGGGCCTGGGGCGTGGGGGGTGAGCCGGGCGTGACGAGTGGGGCATGTCAGCAGGGGGCCGCTGGAAGGCAGGCAGGTGCAGGGGACAGGAGTCGGTGGGCACCGTGGCCCGTTCACCAGGAGCCGTGCCACCCTCTGCAGAAAGCTCTCCAGGACTGTCCTGCTCTTGGATTGCCCACACTGCGCTTTGTCGGGGTCAAGTGCTGCTCGGCCCGTGGAGCCCGTGGACAGCCTCTGTTCTGCCTCAGAGAGTGCGTGCTGTCTTGGAACTTAACTGCGGCAAGAGGGGGCGACGAGACTCGTTTCTTTTAAGATTTTATTTACTTATTTTTAGAGAGAGGAAGGGAGGGGAAAGAGAGAAACATCAATGTGTGGTTGCCTCTCGGGGGAGGTAGGCCCTACTGGGGACCCGGCCCAAGAACGGCAACTACACAACCCAGGCATTGCCCTGACTGGGAGTCGGACCGGGATCCTGTGGTTTGCAGGCCGGCGCTCAATCCGCTGAGCCACACCGGCGGGGGCGAGACTCATTGTTTCTGACATGGCTGGTGCCCTGCTCTCAGTCGTGTCTCGGACCTGGCTGGTGGGCTGTCTGACGGGGGGCACCACAGCACCCATGGGCCCCGGCACAGCAGCACGCTGACTCCTGTCTCGCCCTCTCCCGCAGTGTTACGGGACATCAACGAGAGGGGGCGGGAGCTGGAGCAGATTCTGACCCAGTACATCACGTTCGTCAAGCCCGCCTTCGAGGAGTTCTGCCTGCCGGTGAGTCCCGGTCCCGGCCGGGTTTTCCTTGCATTCAGAATTTAAGATTCGTCACCCGCACACACAGGGGTGGAGTGAGGGAGCCCTGGCTCACGGTGCACGGTGGGGTGTCCCGCTCTGTCCCCGGCCCGGAAAGGGTGGCCTCCGGTGCATCCTTCATGGTGTCCTCCAGCTCCGTCCCGTCTGTCACTGTCGGGGGCCCTTAGGGGCGTGCTGCTGGGTCCCAGCGAGCTCTCCGCCTCCTGGCTGGGCCCCTGGGGTGGCCCTTTGTTAAAGGTGCGTCACGTCTCCGGACAGACTCAGCCGTTTGGATCCAGGAAGGGTGCGAGGTGGGTGGCGCGTGTGTGTGTGTGTGTGTGTGTGTGTGTGTGGTCTTCCTTCTGACCTCCCATCACTGCGGCCGAGCCTGTTGTGAGCTGGTCTCGGCCCAGACACGTCCCCATTGGGAAGGGTGCCTTGCTGGATAAGCTTCCGTGCGTCTGTCCTGGCCCAGAGCTGTCGGTCCTGGCAGCCGGGACTCCCGAGAGGAGATCTTTCCGAGAAGGGCAGTTGGGTGTGGGGGGCTTCCTGGGGAAAGACAGTGAGCATGAGGGAGACCCCCAGGGATGGGGGTGGGGGCGGGCTGCTGTGGAGGAGGGGCTCCCACACCCAGGTCACGTGTCCCCCCCGGGGCCAAGGCCTGGTCTAACTCCCCAAGGATGCTGCTCTGAGAAGAGTGGAAGGGGGACCTGGCTGGGTTTGGGGGTCATCTGTGGGGGCCGGGGCTTTGAGAAGAGGTGCAGAGTGAGGCTGAGGCGGGCATCTTCTCCCTCCTCTCCTGGGGAAGTAGGCTCCCACCCTGTCTCTGCTGCTTTAAGTCTGTCTGTCAGTGGGTCTTGGGTCAAGAGCGTTTCCGGTCAGGGCTGGGCAGGCTGAGTCAGCCTGAGTAACCTCAGGGATCGGGTTGCAGGATTAGGTTTCTGGGAAGCGGGCAGAACAACCAAGCAGCTGTGAAATTCCATCCAGGCATCCTCCCGCCACCTGAGGACCGCTCAGGCTCTCGGCCACGTAATGACCAGTGAGAAGTGAATGTGTTTACAGTCCACTGCCGTTGCACATGGTTGTGACAGAGCTCGGAGTTCTGCACACACGGGGCCTGGGTGGCTCCCGCTGTCCAGCTACTGGACAGGAAGAGCAGGTCACTCCTGAGTCAGCCTGGGGCTTGGACCAGCCCGTCTGCCCGGGTCAGGCTGGGCCAGGCCCTGACTTGGTCGGGTGTATCTCGGCCATTCTAGTCTGGACGCTGCAGAGAAGAGATGCCCGTGGACACCAGACATTGTTCATGCGGTCCCACCCTGAACCTGGTTACACACCCGGACACAGGGGGTCCACAGCATGTCAGTAAATTTAAAAAAAAGAAATAACTGTGCCTTTGAAAGAAACAGTGATAACGCAGCCAGTGCAAGGGGCCCAGTGGGGACGCCGCTCCCGGGCTCGCCCTGGTGCCAGCCCACAGCCTGGCAGCCCCCCGCCCACCCCCCGTCCACCCCCCTTGGTTGGGTGCTACCGATTCCTGCTCCTCCTTGTGGCGAAGCTGCAGCTGCAGATCCGGCCTCAGAGGCCTGGTTCCCTGTGCAGGCTGTGGACTGAAACCAGGCCGGACGTTAATAGTGGGAACTCCAGGAAAAGCCAATTCGGTATCCTCCAGATAAGGCGGTTAAAAAACATCAGCCGCCCTCAGGCTGTGCAGAAAGAAGGGCCCCATCCCCACCCCTCTCGGCAGACAGTGTCTCTGAACCCCACAGTGACGCTTCGAAATGTCTTTCCCCAGACAAAGAAGTACGCGGACGTGATCATCCCCAGGGGCGTCGACAATCTAGGTGAGTCCTTGCAGGGCGTGGTGTTTGGGGGCCCACTGGGCAAAGGAATTCCGCCCGCCCGGCGGCCTCGGGCCTCTGAACTGGGCACACAGGTGGACCGTTGTCCTCTGGGCCAGCAGGAGGGGTGGAAAGGCCCTGTCTCCTCGCCCTCCGTATAATCTCTTCCGATTTTTCCTCCTTGAAAACGGTTCTGTGTTGCGGAGCCACTCGGGAGCTCGTCACAGCGGTGACTGTGTCGCCGCCTGTCTCCCACCTTCTCTTAGCCTTTCTCCCCTTTTTCACGACGGTGATGTTCTGCAGAGGGGCCCCTCCCCCGGGTGTGTCTTTGTGTCCCCACCCTCGGAGTGAGTTTGCACAATCAGGACAGCTCGGGGAGACGTGTGGCTCCTGGTGCTTCCCCACTCCCCCGGAAGGCACTCCGCTGCTGTCCGGTTTGGGTGATGTTAGTCAGTCGTTTGCACAGTTTGTTTCTAAGGGTAGGAAGAGGGAGTCCCACGTTGGCATGTCCTTGGAGGAGAGGGCACTCCGGGTGGTTGCCGTGTGTTGGGCGGGGAGGTGGGAGGTTTCCCCTGGCCGGGTCCCGGCTCCCAGGTGGTAACGGGGCGAAGGCAGGGTTTGCACTGCTTACTTCCACATGGCTGAGCCTGATCGTCAGCTAGGAAGCCCCTCTGTTTATGAGGGCTCCGTGGGTCCCAGGTCTTGCCTGTCTTACTCTGGGAAGCTTCCAGTGATGGAGGAGAGGACCCCGTGAGGGGTTGGAGGGCTGGCGGTACCTCCCGCCCACGCCCTGACGCCCTGCCCGTGTCTGCCCCACAGTGGCCATCAACCTCATCGTCCAGCACATCCAAGACATCCTGAACGGGGGCCCGTCCAAGCGGCAGACCAACAGCTGTCTCAGCCGCTGCACCCCAGCGCGCAAGAGGCAGGCCTCGGAGTCCAGCAGCCGGCCACACTGACCCCGCGTCCCCAGGGCCTCGGCCCCCACCGCTCCGGGAGACGGGGTGGGGGAGGCAGCGATGGTGGGGGCCTTGGCCATCTGAATATGCGGTTTCCTATGACCCTGCCTATTGAAAACGACACGGAGAAGAAACGCCTTTGATCTTGAACCAGAACTTGACCCCGAGCTTGCGTGATGAGCTGTGCCAACTACTGCTGATTGATGCCATCCGGCGAAGCCAACCTGTAAGCAGTTATAAATACATATACATATAAAAGGATCTATTTTTGTGTAACCGAACAAACACTGTACAGTTGTCCGCCCGAAGTGTTTGGGAGGAGGGCCCGCATTGGTGTGTGGAGACTGGAGCTGGAGCTTCCTCTCCGGGAAGTGGCTTGTCCTGTCTCAGTTCAGGTGGCGGCTGGCACCTGGGCGGCAGGGTGTGCGGCAGGCTCACGCCTCTCGCTCTGAGCAAGCGCCTCCAGAAGCCCCTGCAGGGGCTGGAGCTTAATGTTGCATCGACGACGGATGCTTTTTAAAAAAATTTTTAAGTTGACTTTAGGCAAGACCTCAACCGAAAAAGCAAACTCAGGGAAGGGGCCCCTCGGGACAGTGTGTCTTCCCTGTTGTCCCCACACCCACCCTGCGTCCTGCCCCCAGCTGCTTGGGTGGTCGCTCCATGACTCCTTCCTCACTCGCATCTCGGTGTCTTGAAAGCCAGAGCCGCCTGTCCCTTGTCGCTTGCAGGCTGGGTGTTGGTGGGGACTTCTGAGGGCAGGAGGACAGCTGGCAGCCCCTCACAGGGGGGCAACAGAGCTTCACCTGCGCAGGGGACAGTAGCTTTTGTCCCCGAGACATGGGGCTTTGCAGTGAGGCGGGGTGGCACGCGCCCTCAGCAGCATGCCAGACGGGCCGACCTCAGGGTCTGGCAGCATTGGGCACTGGGGAGGTGGCGGGAAGAAAACGGAGTCCATAGGTCTTAATACACTGGGTTCTTAGGGTGCAGAGTTCCACCTTTCCCCAGGGCTCCCTCTTGGCGAAAACTTACATCTGTGGAGGAAGCACAGATTCTGGAAGAGTCTTGTTTCAGGGGCGCAGGAAGTCGGGGGACCAAGCAGAGCTGCGTTCTAATTCCAGGGCCCCGCCCCCCAGCTGGTCCACGCCCTCGGCTTGTCCCCTGCGGCTGCCCTGCCCGGGCATTTCAGGGCCCTTCCCCTCCCGGGGCTGCCCCAGCCCGTTGGAGCCGGTCAGGTACAGTTGTCACCAGTACTCTCCAGTCACCCGGCTGCCCCCTTTTACTCAGCACCGTCCAATTTCACCCCCCTTTTTCTGGATTCGGTTTGACTCTGTTGTACTGTTTCAAAAAGTCAGGCCTAGTCTCCAGCTTAGGTTTGCCACCCCTGAGCCACCAGGGAGACCCTGTCTCAGGCCCTCAGGGGGCTCCTGACGGCCGCAGCTGCCTGCTTGGAGCGTGAGGGTTCTGAGGGGCCTGCTCCGAAGGCCGGTGCCCTCCGGGTGGAGGTTCTGGAAGGCCTTTCTCGTCCTGCCGTGGGTGGCTCTGAAGCGTAGGGTGTGTGGCAGGCTGTGGGAAGGTCCTCTGGCCCCCACGGGCCCATGTGCCCCGGGGAGGCCAGTCCCCGTCCAGGTGCCAAACCACTTAGTGCCTTGGCTGTCGGTCCCACTGCCCTGGAAGGTGGGCTCCTCTCACCTCGGAGCCTCGGCTTTTGAGCCACCGCCTCGGCTGCCTGTGGTGTTGGGACCAAGCCTCAGTGTCCCCGGGTCGCCCGGTCTGGGCCGGGAAGCAGTGCCGAGGCTGCCTTGCCTCCCAGTAGGACCGGTGCCAGGCCTGCAGCCACCTGGGGCTGACCTTGAGCTTTCTGTGGGACATAGCCTGGCCCTGGCATTGCAGAGCCCCTGGGTCTCTGAGGCCACTGGGGAGTCTTAGGCCCGAAACCAGGCCCGAGTCACTGGGTGCCCTGCCGGCGTGAGCTGCGGGCGTGGTGGCACTGGTAGTGCTCCTGGGGGCCCGGCCTTGGAGCCTCCCTCCTGGGTGCTTGCTTCTCCCTCCCTGCCGCCCCTCCCAGGTGCCGTCTGCAGACCAGGCGTGCGGAAAACAGGCGTCCAAGCCTGTCACAGGAAGGCTCGGCCCCACACTCCTCTGGCTGACGGAGCTCCCACTGATGGGTGTCTTCCTTGGGCAGCGTGGGACCCCTAGTAGGAGCAGAGATGGGAGTCGGGATAAGGGGGACGCAGCTCTTGTGAGCAGGTGTTGTGACCTCGGGTGGCCTTTGCTATGGGGGGCAGGGGGGAGAGCTCGGTAGCAGTGGTGGTGACAGCAGAGCCCCGAGGAGCAGGCCGAGGGGGGTGCGGAGGGTTCTCCCCTCCGACCCAGCCGCCCACGATCGGTGGGTCCCACTGGCCTCCTGTGTCCGGGCCTCCGCCTCCCCATGCAGGCCGCCCGTGGTAGCTGGTCCTGCCTCAGGAGGGCCGATAGCTGGGGAAAGACTTTTCCTTTCTTTGAGACGCTTGCTCCTCCCCTCTGCCTTCTACCGCCTGGTCGCAATTGTCCGCAGTCACGGAAAAGACCACATACTCTGTATTTGGCTGTAAATAAAGACCAAGCTGAAAGAGCCGCCTCGTTCCTTGTGGTGTTTGGGCAGGAGCCGCCATGCGGAGTCTGGGCCGACAGGAGGGCGTGGGGGCCGCGGGAGGGCAGCGCTTGGCCTTTGTGGGGTCAGCACCGCACCCGGTGGCTGAGCCTCCCAGCCCAGCCTGGCTCCTGGCGGGACCAGGCACACTGGCGTTTCCCCTTCGCCCTGGAGGCTGGGCTGCGTGTCTGTCTGAAGGCTGCAGTTCCTTGGACCAGTGGCTCGGGGCTCCTGCTGCTGTCACCCAGTCTTGGCCGCGTCCCCTGTCACTACCTTCCCGGGGCCAGTCACCACCATTCCTCAGCCTTCACAACCGAAGCCAAAACCAAAACCAAAACCAAACTTTCTCAGAGAGTGGATGTTGCTACAGTATGAATAAGCCCCAATGAGGATGCTCAGGAGCATCACCCCCACTTGTGTGGTCTGCTCCCAGGTGGTCCCTGCAGATACTCCTGTTGGCTGTAAAAGACCTCGATCACTCCCCCCCTCCCCCCAGGGATTTTAAAATAATTGGCTCTGAATAGCAGCCCAGCGCCCCTCCCCTCCCCTCCCCTCCCCTTTCTCAGCTTCCCTTTCTCCTCCTCACTCCTGGCCTCCCAGGCAGCCCATGACCATCAATGTACTGGGACACTGGCTCCTGACAGCCATGTGTCCCCCTGATATAGGGACCCCCCCATGTCAGGGAGCCGAGCAGAGATGAGGGGACTCTGTGGGGGTGGCCCACCCATAGCAGTTCAAGGTGCTTCTCTGAGAGCTGCCGCCCAGCCCGGCAGGGATTGCAGGCCGGTGACACCCGTGAGTCATGGAGTGGGTGGCTTGGCCGGTGCCACACACAGAGGGTGGCTGTGCAGGCTGGTGCGGGCTCCGCTCTGCACCATCCTCATCCGTGTCCTGGACACACCTGCCCTCTGCCCACCTCTGCAGTTGGAGGCTTGCTTGGGGCTCAGCTCATTGCGCAGAACTCCGTTGTCCTTTCTCACTGGGGGACAAAGTGCAGGCCCGTGAGGTCCTTCTCACCCTGCCACCACGTCCCCAGAGCCAGCCTTCTGTTCCCCAACCAGGAGGCGCCCCCTCACCTGGTGCTTCCCCAGTCATCAGTGCAGATGAGGAGGAGACAGTCAGGACCCGCTCACTGGACCCGCTCACTGTGTGAGGACGGGACCGGGGCTCCTATCATCAGGTGCTGAGGGCGTGTCTCATTCCATTTTCTTTTAAGATTTTATTTATTTATCTTTAAAGGGGAAGGAGAGAGGGAGAGGAACATCAATATATGGTTGCCTTTCGTACATCCCCTGCTGGGAACTGGCCTGCAGGGAACCGGCCTGCAACCCAAGCATGTGCCCTGACTGGGAATCAAACTGAGATCGTGTGGTTCGCAGGCCCGAGCTCAATCCACTGAGCTACACCAGCCAGGGCTCATTTCCATTTTCTAAAACCCACAAAGTTCACCTCCCTCTGGGTTCTGGGAATATCGGCAGGAAAGCATATGACCCTGATAACCACCGGCTGGTGCCCCCGAACCGATACAAAATGATACTGAAAAGATGCTCATGGAAAGAGTTTAAAAAGTTACCTACCCCACCTGCTGAATCTTGGGCTGTGCTTGTACATATGTTTATGCGTTTGTGGGGTTTTTTCCCAAGAAACTGGGAACTAAGGTAACGTCAAACAGCCCGATTTGACCGAGACCGAACCCAGACGTGTTCATGCAGCGACCAGAGGCGAGGTCTCGAAAATGGAGCTTGACTCAACACACTTGGCCTGCACCCCCTCTGGACCAAGGACTCGTGTGGACCCGATTGTGGCCCCATGTTCGGGGCCAGGGTGACCCGGGCCAGGAAGGGCCAGGGCGGCCTTGCCCTACAGTGCACGGCAGCGTTTTAGGCTGAAAAACCCAGGATTCTGGTGCAAGGCAATGGTGCAGGTATTTCAAGATTCCTCTTTCCAATTCCTGAAATTTCCAACTAACTCTGTATGTTCACATTAGACCTTTTCAGGCATCAGGAAACTTGCAGCAAACGTTCCCGTTGCCTCTTTTGATCCTTGAAACAGACCTGCGAGGTATGGAAAGAATGCGGTTACTCCCGCTTCGCCTGGCCCTGTCCGGAAGTGGGTCCGGCAGCGGGTAAGACTACGGTGCGTGTCCGCCCCCTAGCGGTGCGTTCGGGTCTCAGCAGGAGGTTTGTGGGCATGCGGACTGATGGCGTTTTGCTTGGCTGCTGGGGTTTCCAGGAGAGCCCTCCGAAATCTAACTACTGATGTGAGCTCTCTGTTTTTTTTTCTTGGAAAATCTTTATTCAAGCCTCCACTCGGGCTGGTAGGAGCTGTCCCCCCGTTGCCATGGCAGCCCCCCAAACTGGCCATCAGTCACCAGGGGTTGCAGGAGGAGGCGGAGATAGAAGGGCTCCACCTTCCCACGTTTGACCCAGAGCTTATGAGGTTCCTGTGTTTACTGTCATTGTGTCCACAGTTTTGGAAATAACACATTATGTTTTTTCTTCAGTGACTATCTTTTCCAATTAACTACATACTTCACAAAAATTTCTACCCTCCTCCCAAATAGTATAAGGGGTTTAGAAAGCGTTACCTCGTCACACTGTCCACCTTACACGTTAGAGCTAAGTATTTTAGGGAACTAAAGTTGCTAGCTTTTGTAGTTTGTAAGTTAGTTATAACGATTGTTGTTTAAAAAACCATTGTTGGTGCTGTCGGTGTGTGCTAAGGCTCACCCAGACTCTCACTGTTCCTGTCCACACAGTTCTTCGTTCCGGATTCAGTTTTCTCCCTGAAATGCAGCCTTCGCTGACTCTTTCACAGCCTTTGTTGAAAAGTGTCTTTATTTTACCTTCACTTTTGAATGATGATTTAGCTGTGTATTCTTTCAACAATTTGAACATTGTGTTGCTATTTTTTTTTTTAAATAAAGGTTTTTCTTTGTCTTTGATGTTCTGCAGCCTGTCGTGAGGTAGTGAGTTGTGGGTTTATTTTACTATTTTAAGATGGGTTTTTTTGTGGGTTTAGTTTTAATGACCCCAGAGGTGCCTCCTGCCTGGCCAGGTCTGGGAAGGCCTTCCACCCACTCGGGGAGATTCTCGGCTGCTCTCCGTTCCAGGGCCGGCTGCCTCTGGCCCTCTCTCTGTCCTCTGCCTCCAGAACTGTGGCTACGTCTGCGAGGGACCCTTTCTTGTCTTTTTAACTTCAGTGAACATACTAAAAAAATACCTATTTCATCCGACTACAAATGTCCTTGTGGATTCTCTTATCTTTGTCATTTTATATTCTTGGCTCCTGTAAAATTTCATTATTTTCATATGTATTCACTTATGCATTAAACAGGACTTTTATTTTATTATTTTTTTGTATTAATTTTGTACCAAGAGGGTTTTCTGATGACCTCAGTCAGGATAGTGGGAAAAAGAAAAGTGTCCCACTGGTTTTCTCAGGCTCTCTTTTCCAGGAAACTTCTGCTTTGTCTGCGGGGTCAATTGTCACTTGTACTTCTCAAACTTCCTCTGCTCAAAGTGTGTGACAAGTACTGGGACGTCTGGGCTGTGAGTGTTGCCACTTCAGATTCACCTGTAGGTTCTTGAAGGTCAGGAACCAGGAAATGTGCGTTTCCTGTATCTTAACGTCCAGCCTAGTGCTTGTCCACGGAATGGATGCCTAATAGCGCACAGAGACGTCGAAAGTGTCCTGGGGTCTGTGTCTGAGTTGCTCCTGACCAGAAGCATGGACTGCAGCCTAGGCGTGGCTGTGGGGTCCCCGCGGCACACGGCGTGGGAAACTCGGTTCCACCTGTGGGCTGTTTTCTTAGAACTGGCCACTAGGTGGTGGGAGGGAGCCACAGCACAGCCAAATCCGGCTTGAACCTTCAGAACAGCAGGACAGTCAATTCAGGAACACTGAACACTTATTACTGCCAGGCCCTGCGCCAGCCCTCCCTGCCCGCGGGGACCTCATAAATGGCCAGGGGACACTGGTGTGCAGACACAGGGCTCAGACGGGCAGAATGGAACGTGCACAAGGACGGAGATTCCAGTTCCTAGATTGAGGGGCTCTCCAGAGGGGGGATTCTGTGGACGTCCCACCTGGAGCCGAGGACATGGAGGTGGGGCTGGGCTGCATGCGTGAAGCGTGGCGCTGCCCCAGTCCTGAAACAAGCTGCCAAGAAGAAAGGCCACTGTCACTTTGGGGGAACAAGGTGACAAAGGAACAGCTGGCTAGTGGGTTCTTTCCCATCTCCAGTCTCGAGGAGAGACCTGTCCGCCGCCCAGGGTACCAGGGCAGAAGAGAACACCCCAGGGACATTCTTATGTCCCGCTGCCACTGGTCTATTATCAATACAGTCTGTGTATCAATGTGATCACAGCTTCCTGAAAACTTGAGTTGAAGTGAGATTTCCATGCAGTGTACACATGTGTGCACACGTGTCGCATGTACTGGCCATGACACATCCTTGTGGTCCCCCTTACCTGCCTGCTCCACTTCCCGTGGCCTGTTACCCACCACCACCCCGGGCAAAAGATAAAGAGAGAAACCCAGAAATAAACCGCTGACACAAGGGGAGGTTCTGCGTGCTGAGTGGCGGGTGAAATCTCGCGAGTCTTGCGTCCCCCCCGGGACGTGACTCCTCCCCCTGTCCATCTCCGGAGGCCCCGCCCCGTGGTCACCGAGGAGCTTCTGGCACTTGCTGGACTTGGCTGCGTCGTGGGGCTTGGGTTTCAGTCACTGTGGCCTCGCGACACAGAGGCCCCAAAGCCCGGAACGGTAATACAGGCGGTTCCCGTGCGCTTAAGAGAAGCCTGACGTCACCAGTCACGTCACTCACCTCTCTTCATGATGTAATCCGGGCTTGTGTCATCTCAGAGCGTCGCCAGGAGGCGGTGAGTGTGGCAGTTCGTGGTTACTGTAGTTCTGTTTTATTAGTTATTGCTGATCTCTTACGGCGCCTAGTGGATGAATTAAACTTTACCACGTGTTTT